CAGTGGCTGATTCCAGGAAGCCCGGGGCAGAGAAACTCTGCCTCAGGCTTCCTGTAGTCAGCCGCTGGTCAGTTTCAGCAGCAGCTGAGTCTGGATGCCAGTTCCGACTTAAGTACAAATTCAACTTAAGAACAAACCTACAGTCCCTATCTTGTACATAACCCGGGGACTGCCTGTATACAGCTTTTGTTATCATAACTTAAAGCCAAGTAAATGACATTGTTCCAGGAAAATGGGATGTGGCTGGAATGGATTTTTTCTATATGGTTTTATGAAAAGCAAAGACAGACTCACCAGGCAGGTGAATGGGGCTAGCAGGGGGGCACCTTGTTCTGTCCAGGACTGCCCCATCCCCGAGCCTCAAATGGCTTTGAGAAATAATCAACTGATTATTATTTGATTATTACATATCAGTAGTATCCAGGGCCTTCAATTACTAATGCTATCCCATTGTATGTATTTGTACAGAACTTGGCACAAAGATACAACCTCTACCCTGAAAAGCTTACAATCTCAGACAACAGCCAATATGTAGAGGGATGAAGAGAAGAGGGATTCTATCATATATGCATATATTCATTATACCTCTCATTATATATGGTTTCAGAAATTGGACTTGGCAGTCCCTGGAGTAATTTCAAATGTTCAAAATTTATTTAATTTTATAACTTTTGTCATGTTTCAATACTCATCACAATAGAACTTGTAACCCTAAATAAACAAAAAAGTGTGTTGAGTAATTTTTAATAATATTGTACTTTACTTTTGCATAGCACCATTCAATTCAAAGGATCACAAAGGGTGCATTTATACAGCACCTTTAGCTTGAAATAACTTATTTTGTAATTTGGCACTGTCTACATAGCGCCAAATTTTGAAATAACTCGCTATTCCAAAACACCCCTTAACCTTCGTGGACATCAGGATAACCTGCCTTCTATTTCAAAATCTATTTAGAAATAACGGGCTGCTTCAATAGACGCGGAACAGCTATTTCAGGATACTTCCAGTATCACAAAATAGCTCTACAGTGTAGATGTACCCAAAGTCCTTTGCAAATCTTCAACATAATGTATTTATTTTATAGACCCCCCCCCCACACACACACCAAAAAAATGCATCCATCTTTTAAAACCATATGTTAACAGTATAGAAGGTAAAGTGTTATCAAAATATTTCTGCTAAGACTGCCCTGAGGGAAGAAAAATGGTTCTTCACATACACAGTGGATACTTCGCAGGTATGAAAACATTATTCATGTTAAGGAATAATCATACTGCTTTTACTCAGTCCAGGATAATATGAATATTCAAAAAGAAGAAAGCAGTTGTAGCAGTGAATAAGCTGTGAAATATTTTGAATCATAGTTGGCAATTCTTAGCCTACTGCTGGAGGTGGCCATCATATTGAAGTATGATGTCATGTGTGACACAGGCAAGGTGGAGCCCCAATTTTAGTGTTTGATTACAAATCACAGTCTAGGTGATGGGTAAAGTGCTCTAGCATGCTGCCGTCTAACTGTCCCATGCAGATTCTGCTGGGGCAGTCTAAAAGATAATTAGTTCTCAATAACACAGCCCTATGTGAATGAAGCACCTTTAGAGCACTTTACATATCATACCCTCTGGCATGCTTTGCTGGTGCTCTATACACAAGCCCTAAGAGACTGAACTAATGTACAATTTGATTTAAGCAGTGTTTTAACTACCATAACATAATTTTTAGTAATTAAACTTCAAATATTTTCTTTTGACTCCAAAAAACAAACCTTTCACCTGTATTCTGCCAAGAAGGAAATAAAAGAACACTTTCTATGTAGCAGAAGGGTAGAATCTGATGAAGTGGGTCTTTGCCCACAAAAGCTTATGCTCCAATAAATCTGTTAGTCTATAAGGTGCCACAGGACTTCTCATTCTCTATGTAGATTATTTCTGGTTGAGCACTCAGAAATGACCTGCACACAGAGTGGCAATGTGTTTAGGCCCCCTCTTGTGGCAGAGGGCATGTGCATGCGTGTGTGTGCGCACACACACACACACACACACACACACACACACACACACACACACACACACACACACACACATATTGCTTGCCAACATCTAGGGCTCAGAGGTTAAATAGACAGTCTATGGAATAGTCCCATATTGTGGTTCTTCCCTGCATCACAAAAACGGGTTTTTAGGATAGAAGGAAATTTAAAAAGTGCACATCAATCGTTACAAAATTTCAGGAGGCATAAGTGCTTTTTCTTCTATTGCAAAGAGGCCTGTATCTCTGAAGTAACAAACAGCTTAACCTTGTTTCTGATAGAATGATTATGTAACGTTTCAGTACTCAACTGTGTAATACTGTGGAAGAGATGCATTCTTTTTAATATTCATCATAGTTTTATTACTATTTCCCTTCTTTCCAACTGATTGTTATGAGAAAGTCAGCAAAATAACCATCATTATAAAACTTACCCTCTTTTAACAGACTCAAGAAACTGAGCATTTGTTGGGTCTGTGTAAGATCTCAACTCTCCATCATCTAAACTGAAACCATTACTCCACAGTTTAAGCAAAATTTGAACCTATTGAGCAAAGACAGTATAATAAAAAAAACAAATGAAACAATTCCTAAGTAATTATCTGATTTTTCTGTGTACACATATTGTCATATATTAGAATACCAAATTTAAAACAAACATATTTTGTAGCAAAACACTGAAACATAAAACAGAAGGCAAAAGAAAAAATTGTGTTTATTTTTGTACATAGACTTTGAACTGCCATTTTTAGATTCCTTAGAAAAGTGATTTTGACTTTTACTAACATTGGCACTATTGCTACAGTTGAAATTACAAACTCAGTGGTACTGAGACCTCAGACAGATTGGCACCCTTGAACTTCACAATAAGCCTTGACTTTTATCAGTGACATAGCTAATAGATAAGATACAAGGTACACAGAAAGAACATGCCAACTATCATGTATTAGGCTTAACAGGTGATGCAACTGCTTTCAAAAGAGTTAATACTCTTTGTTTAAAAATGACCTTGCCCCTGTAAACTTGCAAATTACTACTAGTATTCTAACTGCTTGTGGAATAAAGCAAAAGTTACAGTTACTAATTCCCATAACTAGCTTTATCATTGTTATTTTTATCATAACACCTAGGAGCTCCAAATCATTGACCTGACTGTGATAGCCACTGTACAAACACAGAAGAAAAATACAGACCCTGCTGGCCCTCTAGACCTTAAAGTCTATAAGATAAGAGACAATAGATGGATACAGACAGGCTGACTAGGGAGCATAATGAGACAATGAGACATACTGGTCAGTATGATAGGCTGTCATCTCAGCTCATCCAGCAGCCTAATCATTGTTAATTTTTCACTAGGCCTCAGGGCAAAGAAGAATTTTTAACAGGGATTTGAAACAAGTTAATGTGGTTGTTTTGTGGCTGCTTACAGGGAGATTATCCAAGGCACAATGGACAGCATGAAAGAAAGCACTGAGGGTATGTCTACATTACCCCCCTAGTTCGAACTAGGGGGGTAATGTAGTCATCCGGAGTTGCAAATGAAGCCCGGGATTGCATTTCCCGGGCTTTATTTGCCATGAAGCCGGCCGGCACCATTTTTAAATGCCGGCTAGTTCGAACCTAATCCGAACTAGCTAGCCCGCTAGCACGGGGTTCGTACTAGCCGGCATTTAAAAATGGCGCCGGCCGGCTTCATGCAAATGAAGCCCGGGAAATTCAAATCCCGGGCTTCATTTGCAACTCCGGATGACTACATTACCCCCCTAGTTCAAACTCGGGGGGTAGTGTAGACATACCCTGATATACTTGTCTGCATATTGAACAAGTGGGTGATAGAGGCTAGCATCATAGGCTTACAGAGGTAGGATTGAACCTTTCAATACTAAATGATAAATGACAGGTTGCATGGTGGACAGTCATAGAAGGCCTTGAAAGTGCAGACAAGCACCTTATTTTTGTTACAATAGCGAAGAAGGGAGCCAGTGAAGGAATACAAGAGAAAGGTTACATGGTCAAAGGAACAAGATAGGAAAATGTTCTTTGCAGAAGAATGCTTTGATGGAAATAAGCAGGAAAAGACTGTATTTGTAATGGCCAGAGAATGGAGCCATGTAGTCTAGATACATCCTTGGTGTGAAGAAATCCAGGGTGTGAATAGTGCATTAGCCTCCACACAGTAGCAGGTTATGAGGATCCTTCTACGGTACACCGAAAATTCTGTAATGTGCTTTGATTTACTGCTGTTTCATACAACCAAATTTCAAACAACAGTATGTCAAAGCACACTACAGAACTGTTAGTATGTCATAGCAGGATCCACATGTGGACTTCGTGTGCAGCAAGTAATGCACTGTTAATTCACATACTGGTTTGTTGCACACTAAGGGTACGTCTAGACTACATGCCTCCGTCGACGGAGGCATGTAGATTAGCCAGATCGGCAGAGGGAAATGAAGCCGCGATTAAAATAATCGCGGCTTCATTTAAATTTAAATGGCTGCCCCGCTCTGCCGATCAGCTGTTTGTCGGCAGATCGGGGCAGTCTGGACGCGATGCGCCGACAAAGAAGCCTTTCTTGATCGGCACAGGTAAACCTGGTTTCACGAGGCATACCTGTGCCGATCAAGAAAGGCTTCTTTGTCGGCGCGTCGCGTCCAGACTGCCCCGATCTGCCGACAAACAGCTGATCGGCAGAGCGGGGCAGCCATTTAAATTTAAATGAAGCCGCGATTATTTTAATCGCGGCTTCATTTCCCTCTGCCGATCTGGCTAATCTACATGCCTCCGTCGACGGAGGCATGTAATCTAGAAACACCCCAAGTTTCTATGTAGGAAGTCCTTAAAGGAAGAAGTGACAGAACACTAGTTAAGGTGGGGAAAGAACATGAGATATCAAAGGCTATGTCTAGACTGCAGTGTTAAATCAGAAAAAGATACGCAATTTGTGTACTTCAAATTGCGTATTTTTTTAATTTACTTTCGAAAGAAGCTTTTCCAAAATCTGGTGCGTCTACACGGCACCAAATTTCAGAAAAAAGTGCTCTTTCAACACATCCCTTATGCCTCATAGAATGAGGTTTACAGGGATGGTGAAAGAGCATGCACTCTTACTCGAAAAAAATTATTTAATGGCGGTATCACAGAAAAGCCAAAGATAGACGTACCCAAAGATAAAACCCAGGTTGCAAATATGGGAAAGCAGAGGAGTTAACAATGGCGTTAGAGAAGAAAATGAAGAAAGATTAGGAGAAAAGTTCTGGGTCAGAGGGAATGAGTTTGAGATGGCAAAACAGTTTTTATATACTTATGTGAATGTCTTAAGAGGTGTAGAGCGATGAAGATTAGCAGCAAAGAATTAGATTTGTAAAATAATTGGCAGATAACTGAAATCATGTGAGCACAGAGGACAAAGTGGAGATGACCCTGAAGGGCACCAGAGAAAGATGCTTTAATGTTAATTTAGTTTTACAGGTTTTTTAAAGTGTAGTTTTACTCTGAAAAGTGATCATCTAAAAATGGCATCATTTTACTTCACAGCTCTATTCTCTGTATATTCAGAGTCATGTCTGCTCTCTTTGAGGGCAAAAGTAAATGTTTTACTATTCTTTACCCCTGTTAGCACTGCTGACTAAGATTCAGTCACTGTTGTTTTTTTCCATCTTGTGCATCAGCAAAGTTGTTTATTAAGTCACACATATCCAAGTCTGCTGAAGATAATGGCAAAAAAATCAGGAAACAGCTCTTCTGTTCTACTCAGTTTGTCATACTGAATCCAGCACTTTCACGAGTGTAGCTTAGGGCCCAATTTGGATGTCAGAATATTTTTTTATTGGTGATGTTTGACTCTCACTGTGCAAATAATATGCAAGTCTGACAGGAAAAGGACATATCTTTCTAACGATAAGCTGACAGAAATAACAACTACACTATTATGCCACTTTTATAAATAATTTGTATAAAGTAAAGCCATTCTGGCTGTTTGATCTTCATCCTAAATTGGATTTAAAATTAGTAATAAAATATTTATTTTCTTTCTACCCAATATCAACTTTAGAAGGATCTTATCTAGCTAGTGAGTACTCCAGTAGCTTATTGTTAAGGACAATCATTTTCTAGTTCACAGGGAATAAAGACAACATACAATATTACAAGTTATGAATTGTTGTGAAGTGCTTAATAGGGCTAAATCAACACAAATAATGCCTATGGAACCTTAAAATATGGCATGCACCTCCTCACAAAATTAAGCTTTTTAATTCCAAAGGAGCATTTTGCAACTCAGATTAGAGTTTTGGAGCACCCACATAAATACAACACTTTTTCACAACATTGCACCCAGTCAGTCAACTTCTCTTACAAACATCTCTTTCTTCTACCTTCATAATCTATGCGTTTTGTCCATGTAGACGCTTTAGCTTTAAGAAATTATTCTTAAAATGTACTTTACATGGCTCTGTAGCTATTCATTATGAACAAAACTATTGTTATATAAAAACATCTTAAGAATTTGGGCTTCAAAACATTACTAACCAGGGTTCAAGATGTGTAGCACTATTTCCTGCTGTTCAACATTTTACTTACATCTTGTCCATTCTGATTTTCTCCATATATATATTCGGAGCGCTTCAGTGATGCATCACCCAATCTGTACCCACCACCTGAAAATGACTGATAAAATATTTAAAAAGAAAGTTAATTAAAAAAATTAACAGCCTGAATAGATACGTGAAACAATTTACAGGGATATTTAATGAGGTGCAAGCATATAAATTAAAATGTCAACAAGCCTGTTTTTTGGTTAACACAAACACAAAATGTTCTAACTGATATGCCTTCTAATTAGGATATTAGGTAGTTAGAAATTATAATCATGCTAAGCAGTTCATGTACTATGAAATATTGAACGTTTTCAAACATTAGTAATATAATTCATGAGGCAATAAGTCATTCAGACAAAAGTAATTATAATTCATTTAGTTTTTAAGAAACTATCTTTTTTGTACTTACTTTAGCTTTACTAAAATCACCTGAGGCTCTTGCGGCTTCATCCAATGGAACTGCACCATGTTCTTTCGCCTCTTTGAAAAGTTCATCAACAATTTTACTGGGATTTTTATTATTAGAAGGCCCAACAATCTGTAGTCCACTATATTCTGAGTCACCTGAGTAAAATCTTTAAACAATAATGTTCATGAGTGACAATCATGAACATTATTCATGATTAACGTACTGTATGGACACCCATTTTTCAATTTAAAAAAGCTCAGTAAACAAACTGATCACAGAAACATTCCATTCAGTTCTGGCTTTCCCAATACACAAAGAAGCACGGCTCAAAGTATCGTTACATTAGTGGCTCTACAAAGATAAACTTTGGGATTTCCCTAAAAGATAGGAACCATAATCGTAAGTTGTAGCTAACACAGTACCGCTATAGCTGTGGCTTTACATGCTTTATCTTGTGCGGATTTCTGCCATTTACTCGAAAGAATAATCTCCACTGTGAGATTTTGTGCATGACATATGGCTGGTCTGATCGAAATACAGGATGAACAGCATTAGTTTATATTCTGAGGCTCTTTAGAGTCTGCAGTAACTTCAAAGAAAGCCATTGGATAAAACAAACAATAGTGAACATCTAAGTTTTTTTCCAAAATAGATTAATTTCTAGCCATTGAATGAGATCCATTTCATAGAGTGCATTATTTAGTAGTTTGATTATCTAAGGTCAGAATTTATGTACATGTTCAATAGTAAGAGTAAGAGACTAGAAGTGCTATGGGTTAATTTGTGCTTAGACACAGCTATGCAAAATCTTTAGGTAAATACAACATACTGCCAAGCAGTAGCATATTTGATTTCAGTTCTAACTCATCTGATTCGAAATATTTAATAAAATGCTGAATGCTTCCTATTCTCCTTGGGTATACTATTTGACTGTGTCTACACTGGGCCACTTATTCCGGAAAAGCAGCCGCTTTTCCAGAATAAGCTGTGAGCTGTCTACACTGGCCGCTTGCTTTTCCGGAAAAGCAATGATGATCTACTGTAAAATTGTCAGTGTTTTTCCGGAAAAACTATGCTGCTCCCGTTCAGGCAAAAGTCCTTTTCCGGAAAAACTGTTCCGGAAAAGGGCCAGTGTAGACAGCACAGTAGTCTTTTCCGCAAAAATGATGATCGGGGCTTTTTTCCGAAAAAGCGCGTCTACATTGGCCACGGATGCTTTTCCGGAAAAAGTGCTTTTCCGGAAAAACATCCTGCCAATATAGACGTGCTTTTTCCGGAAATACTTATAACGGAAAACTGTTCCGTTTTAAGCATTTCCGGAAAAGGGTGCCAGTGTAGACGTAGCCTTTAAGTATAGCAGACAAAGTGAGTTGATTCAGGACAAAACAATTCAGTCGGATACCATTTACAAGATTAAAACTAGAACATAAGAATGGCCATACTGGGTCAGATCAAAGGTTCATCTAGCCCAATATCCTGTATTCTGACAGTGGCCAATGCCATATGCCCCAGAGAGAGTGAACAGAACAGGTAATCATCAAGTGATCCCTCTCCTGTCACCCATTCCTAGCTTCTGATAGAGGATAATGCCGACAAGCTTTTCGAACTAATGAGCCAAAGTACATCAACATTCAGAACAAGTGGTCAACAAAGAACCAGTATAAAAATGGCCATTTGCATGACTGAAAATATACAAATTAATATTATTGATAAATGACATGATGATTTAATAAGAGCATAAATGAAACACTGTACTCATAGACTTGTTTTAATGGGACTTCTGCTGCTGCTGGGGGTGCAGTTTGTGGACATGGAGGTGCAGGAGTCAGGGTCGCAGGCACTGCCTCCCGCTGCTCCCATTGTGCACATTCCAGCCAATAGGAATAGTGGGAAAAGCCTCCTGGAAGCACATCCATGCGCTGCTGTCCCATAGCCCGGGGAGGGGAAAGGAAAGTGGCAGCACAGAGACACTTCTAGCTCTGCTTCTTTCCTGCAAGCCGAATCTGTCGGGGAGGCTTGGGGCTTCCACTCCCCTCCTACTCCCCTGCAGGAAGCCGGTACTGGCATTCCAATCTTGCGGGGGGCCACAAGGCGAGATCGCCAGCATAAGCTCCCTGCTGCAGGAGGAGCAAGAGGGAGGGTTGAGCTTGAGCTGCAAGAGAGCCATATTTGGCTCAGGAGCCATTGTTTGCCAACCCCTGGGCTAGGGACACCAATCCCTACCCATCCTGGCTAATAGCCACTGATGGACCTAACCTCCATTAATTTATTTAGTTCTTTTTTTAACCCTGTTAAAGTCCTGGTCTTCACCACATCTTCTGGCACGGAACTACATAGGTTGACTGTGCGCTGTGTGAAGAACAACTTCCTTTTGTTTGTTTTAAACCTGCTACCTATTAATTTAATTTGGTGACCCCTAGTTCTTATGTTATGGGAATAAGTAAATAACTTTTCCTTATTCCCTTTCTCCATACCGGTCATGATTTTATAGACCTCTATCATATCCCCCCCTTAGTCTCCACTTTTCTAAGCTGAAAAGTATCAGATTTAAATCTCTCTTCATATGGCACCTGTTTCAAACCCTTAATAATTTCTGTTGCCCTTTTCTGAACCTTTTACATTTTTTTGGAGATGAGGCAACCATATCTGTATGCAGTATTCAAGATATGGGCATACCAAGGATTTATATAGAGGCAATAAAATATTCTCTGTCTTATTTTTTATCCTTATTTAAATGATTCCAAACACTGGTTTGCTTTTTTGACTGCTGCTGCACATTGAGTGGATGCTTTCAGAGAACTATCCACAACGATTCCAAGATCTCTCTCGAGTGGTTATAGCTAAATTAGTCCCCATCATTTTTAATGTATAGTTGAGATTATTTTTTTCCAATATGCATTACTTTGCATTTATCAACAATAAAATTCATTTGCCATTTTGTTGCCCAATCACTTAGTTTTGTGAGATTCTGCTCTCTCACCATGATGTCTGTAAACTAAGGGTGATGTAATAAAGCAGAGGAGATAGATCTAACAAGTTAATAATTTATTGCTATCAGTTTAAGTATTCTATTTTAATATTAAATAAAAGATTCACATAATTAAAAGGTAAAAAAGGACCACAAAGATAAAGAGTGAAACAAGAACACAAAGGGTATGTCTACACTAGCCCCCTAGTTCGAACTAGGGAGGCTAATGTAGGCATTCGAAGTTGCAAATCAAGCCCAGGATTTAAATATCCCGCACTTGATTAGCATCTTCCCGGCCGGTCGCCAGTTTTTGAAATTTACAAGTCCGGATTAACTGCCCGTGTCTACACATGGCAGGGACCCGGTAGTTTGAAAAAAAGCCCTAAATCGAACTACCAGTTAAAACTCATTCCAGGAGGAACAACTGGTAGTGCGAACTAGGGCTTTATTTCGAACTACTGGGTCCCTGCCGCGTGTAGACGTGGGCAGTTAGTCCGGATTTGTAAATTTTAAAAACTGGTGACCGGCCGGGAAGATGCAAATCAAGCACGGGATATTTAAATCCTGGGCTTGATTTGCAACTTCGAATGCCTACATTAGCCTCCCTAGTTCAAACTAGGGGGCTAGTGTAGACATACCCAAACAGAGAAGAGTTGGAAGGAAACAATTCATTAGGGACGATTTTGGAATAATGGTGAGAGTTAGAGTCTTGTATAGAAAAATTACTCATTATACACCTGTTTAAATCTAAGAACCAAACCCCAAGCTAGTTAAAGAAAGCTATTAAGAGTTGCTTACTAAACATAATGGACAGTAATGCCGAGGTAGAAAATAAGCATATTTGGAAGAGCTACTAGCACTTTTTAATACATCTACATAATATTCATTTCAGTTTCAGATACAAAATCTAAGAGACATGTTATTATTTATCAAAACACGTAACCTATACATTTGATTTAATTCTAAAATAAAATTTTCCTGAAGTTGGCATGTGCGTGATGGATTATCAAGTGCAATATTGTACAGGGTTTTTTAAAATAAATAGTACATGTAAAACTGACTTTAAGAATGAAAGTCTATGGTTCACAAAGATTCAGATTATAGGTTGATGAAAGGGGGATGAAGCATTTTATTCTAAGTAAAAAAGGCTATTCTCCATACCAAGTGTCATTTCCTTCTACTGAGTCACAGAACAAACTTTATGTTCCCACTTACAAGAAAGATTAAGATCGATGCCATTAAGAAAGAAAGAAGACAGAAAAAAGTATATGAATGGGAAAAAAATGTAAATTAGTACCTTATTCACAATTGTTATAAATAAATAAGCTTTTGTTTTACAATACCTTTGGTTTTCTTTGTCATCACTCATGCTTCTTTCTGGTTTTCTTAAGCTTCTGAAGGAGTCAATTTTTAGACTGCAAATATTTTTAAAAAATTAATTTGATTAAAATATTACTGATTTTATGCATACATATACATATACTGCATAATGTAGCCATAGTAACAAGTACATTGGACTTTATGACTGCCCTATGTAATGTGATTAGAGGGTTTTTCTACACTTAAAATAAAAATGAAAATACGGTCTTTCAAAAGTTCTGACATAATGGGCTATAACAGCCATTCAGATTCACTGTATAAATATTTGATGAATTAATTCTAAATTGTTGAAAAACTGTAATGGCATATGTTCTCATGGACACAGTAAATAGTTCCAAATAGTCACCTTCTAGCAAGGGAAGAGTGGATGGCAGCTCAATTAAGCACACACAGTAATATCATTATACATGCAAAATAGGAAGTGGCACCAATGACATCAACAGGTAACATTCAGTGTGACTAAGTGCTGCAGAATCTAGCCTTTAACCTTCAACTATATTTCAAAACTAGTTTTGTTGTATTTGAACCTGAAACAGGATGTACCAGAGTTGGTAATACAAATAAATAACAGAGCGCTAGGAACCCAGTCACGGACCAGGACCTCATTGTAATTGATACTGTACACACACTAATGATGTTAAAATGCGATTATCTGGCTCTTATGATAGCAGCTGTGGAAAAATATTTTTGGATAGAGCTTAGTGTTTCATGTTGATGTGAGCAATGTGGCTTCCTGACCCAGAAGATGCACCCATGTATAGCCCTCCATGTGACTTTTGTGCCTGCTCCTAATGGCTGTTTCCCCAACAAAAAGCAGGTAATATGCCCAAATCTGTGTGAAGGCATAACTACTTCTGCATTTAATATTGAGTCCTTCCCAGGAGCTAACAGAATCATTAAGTGGTTGGAAGCACTTGCAGAATGAAAACTACTCAATAAATATTTATATGCTACAGATGCTTATGAAGGAAGCGGACTGGTCCTAGTATTATGAGGACCCCCCACCTTACTCTTCTGTATTGCTATAGCTTTTTAAACACACATTGAAATATAATCTCTCTTTGAAATCAGACTTCTGAATGTTGCACACACAAAAAAGCAGAGTTAGTGAACTGAAATAGATATTACAGATGTCAAATAAGTTAATAATCCTAATGTACAAAACACTTCTTACCTTTGAACAGGTACTCTTGAGTTACTGACCAGTGTAGCTGGTGATCTGTCTGAATGGGATAACTTGCTTTTAACTTCATCTTCGTATAACCCAGCCAAGGCCAACTACATTAAACACCAAACTTTTTAGAAAGCTTATAAGATTAGAGATATAAACTATTCAAAGAACAAGAGAATACATCTTGTATACATTGTTTTAGAAGCTTGGGTTCCTTATTGATTTAGGAATATGACTGATAATATTTAGATACTTTCATAAAATTTGTTTGGATACTTCTACTCTGTAATAAACATGCTTGTATTTATTTACATCCCCCTCTATATATGTTAGTGAGTCTGCATGCAAGTCCATTTGTTCAACAACTCCTCCTAAAAGAACTAAGGCCACCAAATTTGGTATGCAGCTTCCTCTTCTCCTACCTTAAAGCAAGGTCAGGGTGTGGTTGTGCCAGGAAAGGACTGTTGTCCATAATACAAAGGAGAGAGCCTGCTGTTTGGATGGATGCAATATGAGAGTGGTCACTGGGGGCAGCTGTACCATCAAGGGAGTGGCCAGTACAGCTGGGGCTCCGCCACCTTGCCTGCCAGCACACTAGGTAAGTAGCCCTCCTGCCCCACGCTCTTTCCCCCCTCCTGGCCCTTGGCTGTAGTGCTGGAGCAGGGGAGAAGAAGAAAAGGCCCCTGGCAGCAGGGTAGAGGAAAGAAAAGGTTCATACTGGATGAGAGCCCCCCACCCAAAGCGCCTCCTTAGCCCCCCAACTCTCACTCTTGCATTCTCCATCCTTCTGTACTGACCCTCTCTCTCCCAATCCCCAAGGCCCTGTCCTGACTCCTGTATCCTCCACACTGCCAACCCACTAGCCTGAAGGACCTGGGCAACTCTGCATAAATCTGCTAGAATTAAAATAAACAGGAGTCTGAATTACCTCATTAACTATATATAAAGGCTACAATTAGCACAGAATGGAAATACTTTTTATACAAAACATATGTCCAGAATACACAGAAAGCACTCACATCACAGGTATTTGAAAAAAGGTTAAGATAAAGATAATCTGTGTTCATGTGAAACAACATGCCACACTACTTTCAAGAAGACTGTTAGAGGACACAACAGTATCAGCCTGTAGTTAGGGCTGTCAAGCGATTAAAAATTTTATTCACGATTAAAAAATGTAATCGCGATTCATCGCAGTTAATCGCATACAGCTCCCCTTTGAAACGCCACAGTGGTGTTTCAATGGGGCAGCACAGCATTAATGCCTGTGATTAATGTTTTAATTTTTTTTAATGCACGCTTTAATGCAGATCAATTTACAGGCTTATTTGTAATTTATTTTTTTAAGTTCCTATGTAACATGTTTATACCCATAACAGGTTGTACATCACTATTAAAATCCCAATTTAGTAAAGCACATTAGCATATATTTAACACTTAATTCAGAAAGTGCTTAAATGCTTACATCCAAGAACAGTTACTTGTATTAAAAAAGTTTTCCCCTAAAGATGGCCCTAGATATTCTGCCATTTCTGTGGAAGATTCAGCTTTAAAAAACATGTGGAGCAATACTAAATATGACATTTTTAGTAGCCTTATTTCTGTTATTTTTAACGATGCTGTACTTAGTTTTTGTAAATATTAGGATTTTTGTCTCAAAACCAGAGTTCTGAAATTTGATTCTGCTTTTCTCTGGATACGTGAGTGGCATTAAGATTTTACCATGTGGTGCTGCAAGGATGTGATGCAACTATGGTTTGGCTTACAAAACAAACATTCAAATAGAAATAACCATCTGTCCTTTGTTAGACAAACTGCTTTAGAATCACAGTAATTAATACTGTAATAAGTATTGCAGTGAGACACTCTCAATCCAGGAAAGTAAGCTAGTTGAAGAATTCTTGGCTGTTAAGAAAATTGTACAGACTAGTGAGACTGCAACAGAAGTTTTTAAAGACATCTAGAGTCTCAAGCTTAATAGACATGCTACAGACTACCTTCAGATAAATTTAACACCATTAAAGATGATCTACTCAAAAAACCTGCTTAACTACAAGTCAAATTTTCAAAAGTTTGGGAACCTCACGGTAATTGTAACTACTGTATACTAAAATGTTAGTCTCAACAGATTCATAGACTTTATTAACAATAATTAATGTGCACATCCAATATTAGTAAATAGAAAGGAAAAAATAGCCAGGACTGGTCAGTAGTGTACTGTTATGTGTAATTTAAACAAAAAGGAACATTAATACTGCCTACAATTTCTCCTTCCTTCTACTTAATAGCTAAGGGTAAGAGTAGGTCTACACTTATGGTCTTGTGTAGAGCAGATCGATATAGCATGCCCAGTTAGCATGGGTATGAACAGCAATGTAGACAACGAGACATGGTTGAGTAGAGTTGAAGGCCCTACATGCCTGAATCGTAGAGTATATACCATAGGCACCTATTTACATGTCCAAGCCATGACACTCATGTCTACATTGCTACTTTTCTTAATGTGGTGTCCCTCTGCCTCTCTGCTGCTGGAGACTTTCACTGCCACACACAGCTACACAGGACAGAGTGGGGACACAACCTATCTTTCACTGAAGCATTCAGGAATTGGAAAACTATTTACAGTGGGGGTGCTAAAAAGCCTTCAAACAAACCTGCAAACCCTGTATATGACAAAAACTGCTTCAAGCCCAGGAGGTGCCGTGCACCTTCTGGACTCTTAATGTTGCTGTGTAGATGTACCCTATTTCAAAATAACTACATTACTTCAAAATAACTTAGTTTGCATCTGCACAGCAGGCAATTATTTCTAAATAATGTCAAAATACTGTCAAGCTGGAGGACTTCTGACTCCTGTAACCCTCATTATAGGAGGAGTAAAGGAAGTCAAAGGAAGGGTGCTCTATTTCGAAACAAGTACTGTGTAGATGCTTCCAATTTAAAAATATGCTATGCAATTGTTGTAGCTCAATTTGCATAGCTTATTTCGAGTTAAGTCCTGCTGTGTAGATGCACCCTTAGTTCCCAGACCCATGGCTACGCATACCCTATGTGCTACCACAAGCGTGGGCAAGTTCAAATATAGTTTAAAGAATTTTAGTTGGACTTATTTCAGTTTTAAAGTTGGCGGGGGAAATGAGTGCAGATAAAGAAATGGTTACAGCTGAGAAGATTTGATATTGTTTCTTTGCAGGAAGCTAGCAGTGAGAGCCAACTCTGTGCAGTCACCTCCCCCTTGCTCTAATATCTGAAAACCTGGCTCAGCAGTACAAGGGGATTCTTGCATTAAACAGCTTTATTCAGGGCCTTGCAAGAGGCGGCAGCCTCCTCAAGCCTGGCGAGTAAGTCCGGAGCAAATGCAGGCTCGGTAAAAGAGGGGCAGCCTATGACACGAAGCTAGTCACCTGCCTCCGCTCCACACCCTGTGGCACGATAGGGCCCAGTGCAGAGCTCAGGGAGGAGCCCGGCGGCGGATACCCGGGGCAGGGGGCCAAGTGTATGCACAGAAAGGGCAGGCAGCGACCCTGATCCAGCCAGCGTTCAGCTTCCCGGACCCTGCTCCGCCCGCCGGCGGGCTC